TAACCATCCTCTATACAAGCATAGATTGAATATTTATCACACAATATATTCATCAATCATCCATCTTTCTTAGTGTTTCTGTTTCCTCAAAATCATCCAACTTTCATAGTGTTTTTGTATCCTCAAAATCATCAAATTCTCATCAATGGGTTATAGAATAAGGCGTAGATTGGCAATGCAGATGGCACAATAACAAGCAAACGTTGGCAGCTGGTCAAGCAAAAAATAGTCAATTTTGCAAACTCACTTATGCAACTTGGGCACCATGCCAAATCTAGCTATCGTAGTTTTGTCACGGGCCCTTCATTTGCGCAGCGTGATAGAGAAGAGTGTCATGACGAGATGATAAAAGACTACTTCTTCGAACATCTGAGGTATCATCCTCATGATTTTCAGAATCGGTATTTGATGAGGATAGACCTTTTTGAAAGCATCATCAATGTAGTTGTCCATCATGACCACTACTTTGCAAGAAAGATAGATGTTGTAGGCCGATAAAGTCTATCACCTCATCAGAAACTCACATCTGCATTTCGGATGCTAGCTAATGAGTGCTATGCAAACTTACTGAAGAATATTGTCGACTTGCGGAAAGCACTGCTATTGAGAACCTTAAGCGCTTCTATAAAGCAATTGAAGCCATATATAGACAAACATACCTCTGCAATCAAATTGTGAAGATTTGAAGAGGCTTCTACGCAAGGCGGACTAAAAAGGCTTTCTAGTATGATAGGAAGCCTCGATTGTATGCTGAGAGTGGAAGAATTGTCCTACTTCTTGGGCTGGCCAATTCAAATGCCATCACAACAAGTCAACCATCATGGTCAAGGTTGTGGCGTTTTACAACACTTGGATTTGGCAAGCCTTGTTAGGCGCTCTTGGATTAAACAACGATATCAACGTTCTTTGGTCTTCTCCTCTGTTGATGATGTTGTCAATGGATTGGCACCAGAATAGAGTTATAAGGTAAAATGCATGAGCTCGGTTACTACTTAACTGATGGTATTGATCTCAGTTGGTCTACATTTATGAAAAGTTATTCTCATTCCGGTAGTGCAAAGAAAAAATTATTTTCGTAGAAACAAGTCTTACGGGAAAGATGTGGAAAGAACATTTGAGATCCTACATGCATGATAAGCCATTGTTAGAGGGCTTGCACGCTTGTGGAATGTGGAAGACCTCCATTCAATCATGACGACGTGCATAATTTTGCACAACATGATTGTTAAAGATGAGTAAGTAGAAATTGAAGAAGATTCTAACGAAGATGTGGATGTCGACCACCCAACATATGCGAGAGCTATAGTAAAAGATGTTGAATATCTCGTTGCAACCACATATGACACCCGACATGATAGAATTCAATCTCCTCAAGTTCATGACACACTCTGAAATGATTTGATTGAGCATATATGGCACCATGAAAGAGAATGGTGATGATGTACTACTTCTTGTAATAAATTTAAGTGTGCTAGTGTGATTGTTTTGTTGTAATAAATTTAAGTGTGCTAGTGTGGTTGTTTTTTATTTAAGTGTACTAGTATATTTGTATTTCCTTGTACTAAATTTAACTGTGCTAGTATGTTGGTAATAATTTTAAGTGTGCTAGTACGTTGGTAATAATTTTAAGTGAGTAATGTATACAACAATGTGCCATCAAGTCTGTGTCTAGTACATTGGTAATAATTATTGAAGACCCTTGAATTACTTAAGGCATCTAGTGCACAGCAATGTGCGCAACAATGCATACACCAATTATTGAAGGCATCTAGAATAAACCACAAAATAGCAATTAATTATTATTGTATTAATAAGTCATAAAACAACAATTAATAAGTCTTTTGTTTAGTACGTTGGTGAATATTATTATGATCACTTCTTGTTGTATTAAGTTTGATGTATTTTAATAATTATCGTTTGTATTAATGTTATGTAATTTATTAATTATCATTTGCATTAAGTTTATGTAGTTTATTAATTATCATTTGTGTTAGTTTATGTAGTTTATTAATGATCGTTTGTATTAATTTTATGTAATATTGTTGCTATTAATTTTGATTTATTCTTTCAAGATCCATTTTGTGCTATTAATTGTGCTACTTTATAAATGTGCTAATTGTGATAATTGCTAATTATTGTCTCTATCAATTATGCATTTTTGTTGTTTAATTGATGTTTTATAGCTTATTAATACAACAATAATTAACTGTTGTTTTATGGCTTATTCTAGATGCCTTTAACAATTGTTGTACACATTGATGCGCGCTAAATGTCCTCAATATTTCAAAGGCCTTCAATAATTATTACTAATGTCACATTCTATACACATGTACTCGCTTAAAAATTTTACCAACGTACTAGCACACTTCAAATTATTACCAACATAGCACACTTAAATTTATTCCAAGGAAATACCAACATACTAGCACACTTAAATTTATTACAAGAAAACAACCACACTAACACACTTAAATTTATTAAAAGAAAACAACTACACTAGTACACTTTATTACAAGCAATAGTCTTTCATCACCGTTCTCCTTCTCGATGCCATATATTGCACAACTAAATCCTTTCAGAGTGTGTCATGAACTTAAGAAGCTTGAATTCTAATTAGACGTCTCTTATACTCACTCAATATAACTCTATCATGTCGGATCTCATATGTGGTTGTAGTGAGATATTCAACATCTATAGTCATAGCTCTCGAATATGTTGGTTGGTCGACATCCACATCTTCGTCAAAATCTTCTTCAATTTCTACATACTCATCTTCAACAATCATGTTGTGCAAAATTATGCATGTCACCATGATTAAATGGAGGTGTTCCACACTCCACCACAGTGCAGACCCTCCAACAATGGCCCATCGAGTTTGTAAGATCTTGAACACTCCCTCCACATCTTTCCTGTAAGACTCTTGTTTTTGCGAAAATAATTTCTTCATTGCACTATCGGGATTAGGATAACTTTGCACACAGTTAAACAAGATAAATATCATCACTTCAGTAATAACCTAGCTCATGTCTATTACCATTTACCTTGTACCTCCATTGCAGTGCCCATCCATTGACAGCATCATCAACAGAAGAGAAGACCAAAGAATGTTGATATCGTTGTTTGATTACGGAGCGCCGAATAATGCATGCCAAATCCGAGTGTTGTAAGAGGCCACAACCTCAAACATGATGGTTGGCTTATTGTGATGAGCCTTGAATTGGTCAACCCAAGCAGTAGGACAATTCTTCCACTCCCAATGCATACAACTGAGACTTCTTATCATGCCAAGGAAGCCTATTTTGCCCTTGCATATAAGCATCTTCAAGTCTTCATGATTTGGCTTTCAGAGGTATATGTGTCCATATATGGTGTCAATTGCCTTATAAAAGCACTTGAGGCTCTCAATAATAGTGTCATTTGCAAGTCGACAATATTTACAATTGAGTTTGCAAAGCACTCATTGGCTAGCATTCGAAATGCATATGTGAGCTTTTGATGATGTGATAAATTTTGTCGGCCTACGACATCTATCTTCCTTGCAAAGTAGAGTCTAGATGGACAAATGTTTTCAAGATGCTTTCAAAAAGGTCTCTCCTCATCGGATACCGCCTCCGAAAATCATGAAGAGGATATCTAAGACGTTCGATGAAATAATGTTTCATCATCCAGTCATGACACTTTTCTCTATCATTTGAATAAACGAACAGCCCAACATAGAACCACGATAGCTAGATTTGGCATAGTGCCCATATAGTATAAGTGAGTTTGCAAATTCGGCTTCTTCATTGTTCATTTCTACTTCGCTAGATGCAACGTTTGCTTGGTATTGTGTCATCTCCATTGCTAAGCTACACCTTTTATCATCCATTGATGAAATATTGAAGAATTTGAGGAAACAAAAACCTTATGTTGGTGAATATGGTGTGTGATAGTTAGATATTCAACCTATGTTTATATAGAGGATAATTGAAAATTTGTGTTTTATGTATATAGGTTTGTGTTTCATGTGTTTCGTATGTATTTGGTATGTGTTTCGTGTGTTTCGTGTGTTTGGTTTGTTATATATCTGTATCATGTGTTTTGCAGTGTTTTGTATGTATTTTGTGTGTTTCATATGCATTTCATGTGTTTTATATATGTTTCATGTGTTTTGTTTTTATACATTTATATCACGTGTTCCGTATTCTTCTATAGTGTTTCATGAGTTTTATATGTCAGTTTAATGATTTTTCAATATTTATCGAAATTTAAATATTTTTAGGTTAAAATGTTCATAAAACTAATTTATAATAGTTGACATATTTTTTTTTAAAGTTATTAAAAAAAAAACCTAAATTCATGTTTTACTAATATAGGGCTAAAAAAATTTAGGATTGGAACAAAAAAGCTGTTTTTATATTAAAACCTAAATTTTATAGGTAAAAAATGTTAAGTTTTAACCCAAAGGCTATAAATGCACTAATAAAACTTATTATAAACAGTAATAAGAGCAAGTTTTTCAACATATATAAAGTTTTATTAGTAAAGCGACCGTGAACCTGTCCCAGCGATACCCCAAAAAAAAAAAAAAAAAACAGTAATAAGAGCAAGTTTTTCAACATATATAAAGTTTTATTAGTAAAGCGACCATGAACCTGTCCCAGCGATACCCAAAAAAAAAAAAAGGGGGAAACTAAATTATGACTGATTGTACAACTAATTAGTAATTATGAGCTTAGACTAATCAGTACAAAAGAAGGAAGCAGTACAAGTGATTAGGAATCACTCCATGATCAGGGATCTTTTCTTTCTTTTTCCTAACATCCTTTTTTTCACATTGGAAGGGATGGGCAAAAGCATCTTTCATGCAATGAATTATTTAGTTATATTTTTAACATTTTCCTAGCCGCCAAAGGCATCAAAACAGAGGATGAAATTGATAGGCCAAAAAGAAAAATAACATAGAAGAGTAATTAAGGAAACCAGAGAAGTCAAACTCAGGGAAGATCCAGATTTCATACCTGGGTATTGTGCAGGCGGTTGGTGAAAAGTGTGTTGGAGGTGGCCGTGCCATCAGAAACTATGCGGCTGGCGGAAGATGAAGGTTTGGTGGTGGTGGTGGTGGTGGTGATGGTGATGTCACCATCGGAGAAATCTACGACTAGTAAATTGAAGTAGTAGAGAAGGATGATGAGGAGGACCATCACCATCACCTGGATCCATACCAGCCATGGGATTCTGTAGCTTTCTATTGTAAATTCATCCCCAAAATTGTACATATTCAAATATTTGACCCGCTGGAAGTATAACAATACAAATTAACTGCACAAGAACAAGATGTGCAGAGAGAGAGAGAGAGAGGTTGCAGTCTTGCAGAGCAAATCAGAAATTCTTGCAGAAATAAAAAAGAGTAAGGTGAGAAATTGGTTTCTTTTAGAGAGAGAGAGAGAGAGAGAAAGAGAGAGAGAGAGAGAGAGTATGAGTAAAGAAATGGATAGTGAAAAGGCATTACCGTATTTACGAAGGTGCAGCTGAGAAGGTTAACTGATGATGTCCTGGCAACCTCCAACTGACGCGCGTAAGAAAACGGTGGTTTCAATTTTCAACGAGTGCAATTTAGAGGAATGCTAAATACTTTTATTTGCCTTTTCTATTTATTTGTTGTCATATATACTCTATTATTACTTAAAATTTAATATTTAATGTGTCAAAAAAAAATTAATTGATTTTCACAAATGTCCCCATTAGCTTATCAACTTTTTTGTTTAACAAACAATATCATCTATAATAAGAAAGAGCAGGTAGGTTTAGCCTCACAATAGAGTAGCAATAATATAGTTCAAATTCGCATTTTGCGAAAATTGAACCTAAACTTCTCATTTACAAATAAAGAGAAATACAACTAAATTATAGTATTAAACCATTGACCTACTAATTTTTAATTTACACTAAATACTTTTATATTAATTAGCTTTTGTATTTGAATTTAAACCAACAAAACCCTCCCACTAGGCACCATCTACCTCCCACCCACACCTCCCTTCTCAAAGCCCCCATTTAATCTAGACCTAGCAAACGGATCATGTTTGTTGCGTTCGTATCGTTTTATGTTATACCAGTTATCTTAATAGATCGTGTCGTGGCAAACCCGTTATCTTAACATATTTTTAACAAATGATCTGATACAACCGACTCGTTAATGGGTCATGTCATTTCATCGAGTTAATAGGTCATGTAAGAAATTTCCATCCCTAATCTCTAGACCTGGCAAACGGGTTGTGTTGTTAAGTGTCATACCTGTTATCTTAATAGCTTCCGAACAGATGACCCATTAACGACCCAACTCATTAACTGTAGAGTTGACGAAAAGACTTTTCATCCAAAACCGACCAAATACGTACTAAAAAATAAAAAAAACCGCAAATACCAAAACATTCGGTACATATATCAGTATAAAATATTTGTTAGTCGTACATGGATGGTCCGCATTGGGTGACAATACTATTATGTGTTTGCCTATGGTCATGCCTAGTTAATCAGCATTTGGGGACCATACACATTCTTACGGGTGACTCCATACCTAGTTAATCTGTATCGGGGGGTCATTGCCTACCTTGTTACATTATCCCCATAAGTGGTCCGCCTGGTTAATCCGCATTGGGAAACCACATTATTGAAGGCATGTTTATGGTCACGTTTGGTTAATCTGCATTAGGGAACCATACAAACTCTAGGGATAGTCCCGCCTTGTTAATTCGTATTGGGAGACCACGCGCACCCTAAGGGTGATTCTGCCTGGTTTATCTGCATTAGGGGTCATTACCTACTCAGTTTACTTCCATAGGTGGTCTTGCCTGGTTAATCCAAATTGGGGGACCACCAAGGTTCTAAAATAGCTAGGCGCTAGTTGAGCGGCGGACAGGGGCCTAGCGCCTACGGGGCTAGGCCAGGCCTAGGTAGATATATGTAAATAAATAAGTGTCTATTTACACTTATAAAAAAAAAACTATACTTGTATGGATAATAAAAGAATAAGAAAATGCAAAAATAGAAGTAGAAGAATACACAAATTATATACATCCAAAAAGTTCAATATTTAAAAAACAGTAAGCATATAATCATAATGAGGAGGATTTGGATGATAAACTAAATTCTTCTTGTTCATGAATCATGATCCTTGTATGGGATTAGACATAGACTAAATTATTTAACCTTGTTGTATCTAGTTTATTTCTTTTCTTTGTATGTATCCCCTATAAAATGCTCCAATTTGTTTCACTCTTGGATGAACTTGTTGTAAATCCATCATTTGCAAATTAGGTACACCATTTCCATAAGTATACCACCATGAAACCAAAAAAGAAAAAAGCACACAATTAATAAAAAAAATATAAAAAAATAAAAAAATCGCTTAGGCTCTGCCTAGCTCTCCACCTAGGTGGTCGCCTAGCTTCCAACCAATTTTTACAAACGCCTTGCCCAAAATCGAGGCGGGGCTCTACCGCCCAACACCTAGGCGGCCGCCTAGGCCGATTTTTAGAACAATGGGGACCACACTATTATATGCTTATGGTTCCGCCTGGTTAATCTGCATTGGGGGGTCACTGTCTTCTTGGTCACATTATATTCATAGATGGTTCTGCCTAGTTAATCTGCATTGGAGGACCACGCTATCAGATTGATGTCTATGGCTCCACCTAGTTAATCCGCATTGGAGAACCATACGCGTTCTGGGGTTTCATTGAGTGGTGCGGAAACCCTCTTTCCATATGATTCCATTAAGTTGTTCTGGAACTAGATCTCTAGAAATCTTTATGGTTCCTTTGTATCGCTCTAACTCTAATTTTCAACATGTTTATGAACGAAAGAATTGAGAATCTTTGTGAATAAAATTAGAAATGACGATGAACATCTGGATTACTTTGAGATTTTCAATTAGTTTATTTATTAATTTTATAAACCATGGTTTTATAATGATGTTGATTGGTTGGTTGATTAGTATAATTAAAGATTAATATTGTGCATCATTGTTTCATGGAAATATTATATGATGTTGATTATGGTTTGTTGATGGATAATAGGGGTGATCTGTAAGTCTGATGAAGTGATGATTCTGATTCTCATGATTCCTTGTGTAGTTTAGAATTCAGTGTTTTATGCTCTTCGAGTTCCATCGAGTGATTCGGGAATTTTATGTTATCTGCTAAGAAGTAGCATGCAAAATGTCAAAGTTTAACAAAGGACAAACTACGAATGGCTTGATCCTGTTCTAGGGTACATAGGCAATCTAACATAGAGGTTAGATGCAGTCATAAAGTAAACGAAAGGTTATTCCGCTATTGGACCTTGAACGGTGTCTTGTTCATGCCTCGGAGGCGAGGCATGATAGATTTACATGTACGAGGTGACTCTTGGAAAATTTCTCTCATACCATAGAAAAAACTTAAATGAATTGGTAATGAAGAAGGAGCACTACAACTAAGAATCAACTAAAGCATGACAAGTGGATAAATAAGGGGGTTTTCCTCCTCTTATTGAGCTATTGAAGGGTTTTTGTCTAAAACTTATGGTCATTGATGTGTTTTCTTATTACTAAAATGTTTATTAGCTAATGGACATAGTGTTTCGTTAAAACACTAAAAACATGTTTACTTGCAAGGAATGTGTATCATTCTTATTCATGTTTACTAAGAGGAATAAGTATTGTTTCCTTGCGTGTGTTTACTAAGATCTAAAGAATGATTTATTCAAAAAGGAAAATATTTGTGATACCATCTTTTCAGCCCACATTTACAAATCTTAAGTGGCATATTAATATGGCATGCCAAGTCAATAAGTGCAATGAAGTGGATTTTATTGTTTTTAATCTCCTAATTAAAAACAGAGATTAATTACTAATAAATTAATAATTTTTTTTAACAAACAATATTATATACACTAAGGAGATGGGTGAACTTAGCCTCATACTGGGTTAGCAATAATGTGGTTTAAATTTGTCTTTAGCGAGAATTGAATCTAAGGTCTTTCACTTTCAAATAAAGAATAATACCCACTTAGTACAAGAATACCACTAGTACTAAGTGGCCGAAAAAATTAACAATTAGTTGAACTGAAAATAAACAACCTACAGCCACCACTTCACCCATCCACCCCAACTTCGTCAGCCAAACACCCCTATGCCTCCAAAGCTCCTCCCACCCACTCTAACCTACTCCATCATCAACCCCACTCCGCCGCCAGCAACTGCCTCTCCTATAGCCGCCAACCCCTCTCTCTCTCTTCCAGATGCTCAAATTCTGTTTCAGGAAACTTCAAGTCCCATTAACAATACCGGAATGCGCATTTGTCATACAGTAATGGAATGCACGATCTCATATGGTAATGGAATGCGCATTTAACTAAGGACCAGGTCTGCTTAAATTTCTTCACGTGTATACACAAATGCCAAGTCACGATGCATCTAATTGGAGAAGATTAAGTTATCTGGTAGCACAATCTGGATTAAAATTAGCTAAACATCATGTTAATGGAGGCTCAAAAGTAACTCCAGCACAAATGTTCCCATCGTTTAAATCCTTTTAGTTACACATGTATCCGTCAAAAACAAACTTAATCCAATTTCCAGACTATGTCTAAATGTTCTTGCATGCTCGTCAAGTGGGCCTGTAATTTACTCAATACCATTTTCAATCCATGTGGTATTTTACAGTTTAGTGAACAAATTGGTGACATCAAACGATACTAACCTTTGATCTCAATGAGCTCCTACATGCTCGGATATACATCTCGAAATTTCCCAACACTGTAATAGAACTCCATAGTTTAATTCTATCTGTGGTTTGTTGATAAAATTTTCTTCGAGTTGAGGAGACGAGGAATATACATGAGTGGGAGAGGCGAAGAAATTCCAAATTCATGTCAACTTTCTTTTCTCTTTCCGCTTTGTGGGGTTGAAGAATACTCAGAAGTAGAATCAAAGCCTAGGCACTTGAGAAATGCAAGTGTTGCCAGCCTGAAATAGTAGCAGGGGTGGAAATATATGTGGGTTGCTGCTGCTGCTGCAGATGCCTCCATTTCTCCTGTCTCCTCTCTTCTCATGATTCTACTTGTGCTTGTTACTATCTCCCCTTTTATACTTTCTCCTACCTGCCAAAATCTTACCAACTCAGATTATATGTACATATATTACCTAATTTCTAATCCCAATAGAAGCTATTAGAATAAGAATAAGGCTAGGGAGACCAAATTTTTATAATCCAATCATCAACATTCACATCATTTGGTTTACAAAATTCGATTTAGAAATTTGGTCTCCCTAACTTACCCCTAAAATAAATATGCTTTACCATAACTAGTGAGCAAAAAGATTCATGAACAAAACATTGTGAAATGGAATCTCATTCATTTTTGCTTAATTATTTCTTCTTCTTCTTCTTCTTTTTTTCTTTTATGTGGGGGATGTTTGATAACAATTTAGTTTGTAGATTTCATTTTTTTTTTTAAACTGAAAATTGAAAACCACCAAAACCTGAAAACTGAAAGCTAAATTTTGATAACG